AAGAAAGGTTTTCTTGAGTTTATTCTGTTGTCCTAGAACTTCCTAAATTAAATGCTTACTCCATTTCTTTTCATTGTATCTGAAGACTGTCAAAGGCTATGATTCTTCCCTAAATACAGCTTTAGCTGCACCTTGTAGCTTCAGTGTATTTAGATTATTGCTGATTTCCATCTAGCCTATTTTAATTTCCTCTTTAACCCAAGAGGTGAACAAAAAGGAATTTTGTTATTTCCAAGTCGTTAATCTTTTTACTTATTTCTACGCTTTTTGGTCTTTCACTTCCAGTTTTACCACATTGTTCTCAAAGAATATGGTTTATACTTTGGTCATTTTTTTTTTATGTTACAGGGTTTTTTTGTGCACAGTATGTGACCAATTTTTATAAGAACAGTATGATCTCTTTTACAAGGCATGGCCTTTAAAGGTAAGTGCTTCTAACTGGAGGTGCCCCTCAGAATTGCCTGGAAGCTCTTACAGGCCCCATCCCAGGCTTTTTATCAGTGTCTCTGGGTCCAGGGCCCAGGGATGTGTGTCCTGAGCAGTCCCACGGGTGAGCTGGATGTGTGCCCTTGGCCAGAAACTGCTGCATAAGCTCAACCTTGATCACTTCACTGTTGAGGTTCTCTACCTCCCACTTATTTTTCACTTTTTTGCTCTGCCAAGAACTGCAAAGGCATGCTTTTCTGCCCTCCAGCATCTTTTCCCGTATATTCCTCAACTTGATGGAATGAGGTACAGGCAAATTCATGACTGTCACATCTGCAATGCAGAATGGACTGTGTCATCTAATTCTCAAGGATTTTGCAGAAATGGCACCAAAGCTAGAACAACATAGAAGACTTGACAACATAAAACTGAAACCTGTAAAGTACTGAGGCAAATTAAAAGTCTCCATCATCAACAACGGTTATAAATGAAAACTTAGGGAAAAGGCTGCAAATCACAAAAGACTAACATCCTTCCTCTATAAAAAGCTCTTACAAATCAGGAAGTGCAGCATACTGCAGCAGTACAAGACACTACAGGGAAACAACACTGGGTGGCTAGCTGAGATGGCTAATGAACTCTGAATTTCAGCTTCATCGTAAGTAAAATGCGGGTGACAATCGCCCTTATTTCACCAACCTGTGAGGAGTGAGGACTCAGAATGAACTATTCAGGCTCAGTGCCTGGCATACATTGCTCAACAAACGTTGACTTAAGTTGTTGTTGATAAGTGTTACTGTTGCTGTTGTTTTAAAAAGTTCACCAGGTAGCAATAAAAAGGAACAAGCTGTTGATCTAGCCAACAACTTGGAGGGATTTCCAAGGAACTGTGTTCAGTAGAAAAAACCAATCTCAGAAGGTTCCATGCTGTATGTTTCCATGCATGTAACATTCTCGACACAACAAAGTTGGGAAGATGGAAAAGAATAAATCAGGGGTCGTCAGGGTGAGGGGTGGTGGGTGGTGGGTGACAGCAGGTGGGAGGTCACGAGACGACAGAACAATTCTGAACAGACCATGGTGGTGGCTTCATGGCACTACACACGGGATAAAACCAAGCAGAACTACAAGCACACAAACCTGTGCACGCAGATCTTGTGAATAAACTACGATATCCAAATAAACTCTTGTAGACCGTACCAAGGTCAGCCTCCCGATATGGTGTCATGTGAGGAACTTGCAGGATTGACAGCTGGGGAGGCTGGGGAGGGGCGTGCGGGGCCGCCCTGCACATTTCTTTGCAACTTCCTGTGAATATATCACTATTTCAAAATAAAAAGTTCACTAAATCCAAGAAAAAAAGGGGGTAGTGATCAGAAATTCATCAAAAAATAACTCATCTGGCCAATCTGCTTTTGGAAAGATAATTGCCCATGATTAACGTGTAAATGCCCATTGAAATGGCACATTTGAAGGAGGTTGGAAACAGCCAGCAGTGGGACGCCAGAGGGACATTCTTACTGTGGACGCAAGTCCACGGCTGGCAGTTCTAACCGGGAACTTACTCTGAGGCCATAACCACACAGCTGTGCTGAGCCAGGGTAGATGCCGCCTTGCCTACCTGTTAGGTTTGTACCCAAGGGCACATTACCTTTAGAGTCACACAGACCAGGAAAGCTGCGAGACAGGAAAACAGGGAAGACGTCGTCTCCTCCGGCGTCAGCAGGTGTTTCCCCATATCTCGTGGGGCCTCGGACCCTGTAGGTTGTGGCAGAGGACGTGCTGCCACTGAGAGATCTGTGCCTTGGGGTTTCCCAAAAAGGAGGGAGTGGAAAAATTATCCCCGTTCTGCAGTCTTCTGCTCTAGATGACGAGGAGAAATCCTCTGGCCTCGGCGCCTCCCTGACAGAGTCTTTCAACAGGGATGGCACAAGCAGTCCGCACACCCCACATGCTCAGCTCCTCTTCCCAAAACCTTCGGAGACCCCTCCTCAGAGACCCGTCCCCGCTGGCCTGGGTTGCTCCTCTCCTAACATGAAGTGCCCTTTCGAAGTGAATCTAAAAGAAGCAAGTTGACTCAAAGGAATTCTAAGTAGAGAGACACTAGGCCAAGACGTGCAAGGAGGGTGAAAGGGAGAATGTGGCTGGCGTGACCTACTAGCATTCAGAAACTCTTGTCCCCTTAAAGCGACACTGCCGTCTGCAGGGCGGTGACCCATCTTACAGATGAAAAAAGCTGAGGCTCAGAAAGGGGGTGACTTCCCCAAGCCCTATCCCGCTGTTGGACCACCAACCTTTCCACTCACCCCCACCTTCCCCTGGAATCTCCAGCTCCACCAACGAGGGAGTAGGGAAATGAGCTCAGAGCTGGGAGAGCCCCCCAAAGGGACCAGTCTCAGTTCCTGTGGCTCCCGGGTCTGGAGCTGCGAACCCCTGCACCCCCTCAAGGCAGACAACGAGATGGGCCCCACGCCTCAGTTTATAAGGCACTTTCACGCCCAAGGACTCGCTGAAACCTCTGCCGATGGGGAGACTCCCATTTTACAGACTAGGAAACTGAGGCTTGCAGTCACACCACCTGTGTCAGGTGACACGGCCTGCCTTGTGCCTGAAGTGGCAGCAAGGAGGGAACCTCTAAGCTCAGGTCTTAGGGCTCCCGGTCCTGTGCCCCCTCCCCCACCCCAGACAGCACTAACTGCTCAAATGAATTGGGGAAAGGGGTCCCCAGCTGTGTGTCCAGAACTGGAGACCTCCTGGGCTGGACCAACCACACCACAACCCTCGTGGGGAAGAAGAAAACTCAGCCCGATGTGCAGCGGGACAAGGCTGGACCCTCCCCACCTGAAGTGGCCAGGGCAGGGCCCTTGAGCGGGCTGCGGCTGCAGAAACCACACAAAATCAACCTGCAAAATTCACAGGGGTCCCACTCAGGCTGGGCCAGGCATGGGGTGTCCTGGAGGGGCCCCTTCCTTGGGGGCTACTGGCCCCAAGTGGACACTGGGCAACAGGAGAGAGCAGGGGGAGGACCTGGGGGAAGATGAGGGAGGGACTGTGCCACCACCTCCAGGAAGCCTGCTGGAGCCTGACCCTCTGCCTGAGGCAGGGGAGCAGCAGCACCCCCTGCTCCCCAGGGCTGTTTTGGGAATGGGGAGGCAGGGTGGCCTGTGGGGATTTCCTCACTTCAGGGAGGACTCTGGCCAGCCCTGAGGCCACTTCCTCAGGCGGACAGGAAGGCCAGCGTGGGGCAGTGGGGTCAGCAGCACGATGTCCCTCCTTTTGCAGGGGGGGGTGGGGGGAGTACAAACCACCCTTGAAACCCCCTCCTCCTCCAGCCAGAGCTCACCAGACACCCTGATAGAATCTGGAGAAGACAGACCCTTCCATCTTGGACCCCAGAGACGTGGGGGGACACGGCCCCCATCCCAAGACCCCAAAAAGATACTGAAGTCCGTGTAGAGCTCTGGCCTGCCCAAGGGGTCCCCCATATCCTCCCGACAGCCAGAGTGGGCTCCTCCCCATGCACGTGGCTCCTCTCAAAAGCCCGAGTTCACAAGGCCCTGCACAGCCCGCCCTCCCCTCCCTCCTCTCCCCACCCCTCCTCCCTCTCCCCCTCCCTCACTCTGCTCCATCCACACAGGCCTCCTCACTGTTCCTCCAACTCACCAGGCATGGTGCTGCCCCAGGGCCTTTGCGCCCCCAGGCCTCTGCTCAAACATCCAAACATCTCTGTGGAGACAGCCCCTACTGCCCTCCCCACCACTCTGCAGCCTGACCCCTGCTCTATGCTCCTTGAGGCCATGCCATCTGTCCTCCCTGGGCCATGTCCTCTGTACTCAGTACCAGGCAGGGTGACCAGCTCATCCAGGTGTGCCTGGGATGACCCCAGTTGGAACATTCAAAGTCCCAGATCCCAGGAACACCCCCCCCCCAGACCTCGAACAAACCAGGCCAGGTGATCATGCTAGTGCCAGGTCTCGTCAACGATCAGCACCTAATACATACTTGAATGAAAACAGCCAGGGGCAAAGCAGGATTTGGAGAAAGCTAGGGCTCCATATCACACCCCTCCTGGGCCTCAGGTTCCCTCCCTGGCGATAGACTGGACACCCAGAACCCCACTGGGGCCAAGGAGACCCTGGAGGCTCAAGTGCCCAGCTCACCCAGGCCCTCGTGAGTCACACAGAGTCCCCCACACCCGGACCAGGTGCCAGGCTCTCAGGGCAGGGTGGACGGTGACACCATGCTGACCACAGGGCTCCCTCCCTTAGCCCCAAGGCAAGTCACACAACCACAGCAGCAGCCGCTTCCTGGTGTTCCCTTAGGCTCACCATCCCCCCACCGCACGCCCACATGGGCGCCTGGACCTCCGCCCCGGGCCCCTCACCCCACTCCACCTGGCGGGCCTGAGCGCTGCCCCCAAACACCTCTCCCCTTAGTGCCTAGTCCACAAGGCTGCGACCGGCAGGCAGCCCCACCCCGCGGTCGCCCCCCCTCACCCTCCATGGGCCCACCCTTCACACGCGGTGATCTCCTCAAGCAAACAAGAAGCCCCCAGGCAGCCAGCAGGGTCCTACCTGAGCTTCCGAACTGGGCCCCGGCCAGGGAGGTGGGCCGGCTCTTCCCATTGGCCACCGGCAGGGGGAACATCTGCGGGGAGAAAGAGGGGGTGAATGGGGGGTGCACAGCCAGGGCCACAGCTCTGCCGGCGTCCTGTCCCCCAGGAGGCCCGAGGTGCCCCGAGGGCCCTGGCGGGAAGAGGCTCCCCGGTGCCCCTCCGGAGCAGGGAAAACTCCCCTGTTTACCTCTGTATTTGTTTTACCGCAGATGAAATAATATGAAGGCATTTGATACAATGTATCCGCTTAAAAGTGATACAAAGTTTTCTTCAAGTTTCGGCTTTATAAAAAATGAGATCATTTACACTCCCAGATGGATCGCTTGTCCCACCCGTGTCCCAGCCGCGGACCCCGACCTTCACCCTAGGAGCCCGGCATCCACCTCCCCACAAGCCCCTGACCCCGAGCGGTGGGAGTGCAGGGAAGACAGCCAGGCCCCACCACCGGGACGGTGAGTGGGGAGGCCCCCACGAGCCGGGCTCCGGGCTCAGAGCTGCACCCTTCCCGGCCAACAACAGGGCGGTTCTCCCGGGTGGGCCGGCACCGAGTGTGAGTGCATCACCACGACCCCCCAACTCGCTCACCCAAACCCAGTGTTAAGTCCCTCAAGATTAAACAGCTTAGCAGCATTAACTGGGAAAACCCAACATCAACAAACCCTCGTGCTGCAGAAGAAACAAACCATGACCCTGCCCTGCCCTGCCCCAACGGTCTGAGTTTCAGAGGTTCTTTTGGGGACCAAGCAATTTAGAGTGGCCGCAATCAGCATTAAAGCTCTGTGGGGAGCGGCTGACAAGCAGGACATGGGGGTGTGCGTTCTGTGGGCATGACTCGGGGCAGCAACACAAGCCCTGGGAGTGACCCAGGAAAGGGGGTCCTGCCCCCACACCCTGTTCTCCAGAAGGGGAAACTGAGGCCACAGGCTGAGCTGGCAGGGCGAGTGCAGACTCGGGGCAGGTGTGCACCCAGGCACACCCAGGACTCGGGTTCTCACGGGGTCTGTAGTCCCCTCCGGGGGCAGGGCTGTGCTCACCGCACCCAGAGCCTTGGCCTCAAGGCGGGCCCCTTTCCTGCTGGGGACACTGAGGCTTGCGCTGGGGGAGGGGCAGGCCTGGGGATCAGGAGCCTGAGGGGGGTGGTGCTCAATTCTGTTTCTGTTTCGCCCTCCAGGGTGCCAAGGGCCGCTGACGTGGCACTTGCCGAGGGGTGGGGTGGGGTGGGTGGAGGGAACTGGTCTGTGTCCTGCGGGCACTGAAGGTCTGTGATCAGCCCAGCCAGGCCCCCACACCCCCCTTGGAGCCTCAGTATTCCCTTCTGTGAGACGGACGCAGGGTTCGCACCGTGTGGGCTGTTATGAAACCCAAATGCACGTGGGCATCGTGGGCACGTAAGGGCCTCTGCACGCGCAAAGCTCAGAGGAGTACGGTTGGGCCACCAGGCAAGCCCACGGCACCCTCCCCCGGCCCCTCGCCCTTCAAGGCTGTCGTCAGACCCAGGGACCACCTGAGGCCCACACCCCCTTGGAGCCACCAGCCTAGCAGGCGAAGCTCAGGGCTGGGGCAGAGGTGCAGTTTTACCAGCTGGGAGGAGCCACTTTTCCTGGCACTGAACTGGCAGTTGCCTCGTTGACTTTAGAGGGACCTACCCCAAGGAAGCGCTTTCCCTTCAAAATCTTTTCAGTCGAAAATTTGTTTCAAAAAAACAAATTAACTCAGTGTCTCTGGGGCAGGTGGGAAGAAAAGAGTGTGAGCCTCCTGTAATGGGGGGCTGCCTCAGGGCCTCTCTCCTCACGGGAACAAGGAGGTCGAACAAAAATCCAGTTCTGGGTTTACCCACACACACACTGGGCACCTCGCACACTCAGCTTCGCCTTCCTCATCCGTGAAATGGGTCTGAGCTGGGGGGCAGGGGCGTTTGGACCCCCTGGACAGCAGGGGGTGGTGGCCAAGTGGTTGAGGCTGTGGGTGTGGGGGGGGCAAGATCAGAACCTGTGCCACCCCCTCCCCTGACCCCCAAGCCGGTCTGTTCTGGCCCAGTGGTCTGTGACTTGTCAGTTTAACAAAAAAACAACTGAGCAGCACCCCTGATTCCTCAGCTGGGACGCAAAAATAAAACGGGGCTTAAAAATACCGGCATGGCCCTTCCGGAGCCGCGGCCGCTCCGTCCCGTGGGCTGTGTTTTTCCGCAGGGCTGATGATGTCGTTTCAGTTTGGGGACTTTTGTTTCGACAGACCTCAGTGGCCTGGGCCTCATACCGGCAGAGAATTAAATTCAGAGCGAAAGCATCCTCCCTGAACCCATTTCAAACCAAAATAGTGCTCGCTGGGGGAGGGGTGGGGGCAGGATTTAAGGAGTCCACACACAGCCCCTGGGTTTGTGAGGAAACGCAGACCACCCCCCCTCCCCCCGACACAGGTGGCCCACTGCACAGACAGGCAAACCAAGGCCCCCAGCCCTCCAAGGGATGGTCCAGCTCCCAGCCTCCCTGGGCCCGTCTGAGCTGTGTGACCTCTGGAAGGCAGTACCCTCTCTGAACCTCCATCGGCCTGGCTGGGGAACGGGCTGTGTCAAATGGAGCACACCGCCTGGGAAGTGTGAGGACATCCCCCTGCCCCCCCCACCCCGTAGACCCACGGCACTGGCTCTCGTGTCAATAAACTGAGGAATCACACGTCCACTGCCTGTGACCTCTCCTCATTTACAGAAGGTCTCCACAGAGGACACCTAGACTATGGGCACCCACCATCTTTGGCACCCACGAGAGTATGAATAACCCCAATCACACAGTTTTACAGGTCCCAAGGCAAGGTCACTGCATGCCCAGAGCCAAGCTGGGGCCTCACAGCCGAGCCTCCCCAGAGAAAAGCTGAAGGCCACGGGCAGTCCCTCCCTCGCTCTGGACCTCAGTTTCCCCAACTGCAAAGTGGTGGGCTGGGCCCACTCTGTGCCTGGGCAAACAGCTGCGTGACGACGGGTGCCTCTGGAAGCCGCCAAGGGCCCCAAAGCTGCACCCCGCCGCGGGGGTGTCGACCCATCCATCCGAGGGCGCCCCAATTCCCCTAGCCCCACCTGGGGCTCTTTAACCCATAGGAGCTTGCGGTCCAGATGCTGGCAGTGTTTTTGGCACAAGCTTCTTTCCCAATGTCCGGGGGGCGCAGGAGTGTGGACAGCTGGGCATGCGGGGGGCAGGGGGGAGACGACGGGGAGTACGGAGAGGGCCGCTCACCATGCTGAAGTCTAGGAGATCACTGAGCTCCTTGTCTGTGCCCACGGGCGCCATCCTCTGTGGCTGGTTCATTCTCCAGCAGCAACGGGGAGCCAGGGGCCGGGGGTGGGCTCCTCAGGCCTAGAGACAGCCCTGCAGGGTGCCCACAACGGATGCAAGGAGAGGTGAGGGGTGGAGAAAAGAAGAGCTATGAGTGACAGTGGCCGAGGTGAGCAGATGGGGGAGAGCTCTTTAAGAGCCCCTCTAACTGCTCTGGATCTGGGTCTTCCAAGGCTGTGTCCCTCCCACACTCTGAGACGTGGCGGTGGGGCAGCCAGAATTCAGGGACTGGGGCCCCTAGAGACCCCTCCCCAGAGCCCTCAGGGAGTTTGAACAATGGGGGAGGAGCGCAGAGTACATTCCCTGAACTCCCTCTGCGACCACCAAGGAATCAAGTTGCAAATTTTAAACTGGATGCGGGGTGGAGTGGTCCTTTCCCAGCTTGGCCAGAACCCGCCCCTCTCCCCGCCACCTCTCCCATTTCCACCCACCCTCAGGCTTTCCACTGGCCCCACCCCCAGGAAGGGGGAGGGGCGACCGAGCCCCGCCCCAAGGGAAATTTGGTGACACCCCCCCCAGCAGCTGTCAGAGCACGTTGAAGGCCCGGTCACCCCCAAATTCAAAGCAAAAGAAATCCACAAGACGGCGAAACCCCCTTCCTGCTCCACAACTAAATAGGGGGGACGCCCCGCGCAGAGACCTACCCGCAAAGCTTCCCACTACACTTAATCTCCTCCCCCCCATAATAAACAAGCAAATTCTGGAAAATAAAAACCAAAACACCCTAGATTGTTTTATTGTCACGATGTATCCGGGAATTATTCTTAAGCAACTTTGAAAACATCCCTTGCCTGGGGGGGGGGGTGTCCCAAGACCAGGGTTTCCCCCCACCCCGCATGGTCCCTAGGGGCTCCATTCTAGCATGGGGGGGATCCACCTGCCGGGCCCCATCCCACACCCAGAAAAGAGAGGAAGACAGGGTCTCCGTCCCACAGTCAGACAGTGAAGTCCCTCCAGCTTCTCTTCCCCGAGCCCCAGGTGCGGGCGGGGGTCGCGAGCGAAAGGGGGTTCCGAGATCGAGGGAGACCCGACCTCAGAAGCGGAGAAACCCCCGCTTTGTTTGCCAACTGGAGACGAGTGTGAAACGGATGCCCCAGCGCACCCCCTCCCCCGCGAAGCTTTTTCTTTTTTGGAAAGCGTGTGAAACTGACTTTTTTTGAAGAGTACGAAACCGCACTTTTTTGTGGGGTGGCTGAAACCGACTTTAAGGCAGATCTGGGGGGGCTAAACAGGCTTCTCTAGGAGAGCTGAAACACTTCTGGGGTGTCACGAGAACTTTTGGGGGCTCGAAGGGGACTCGAAGGACGTGTGAAGCCACCCTAGGAGCAGAGAAGCAGAAACGTCTTCCTCTGGGGGGGGAGGGGTGGGAGGAGGCCCGGGAAACCAATCCCCACCCCACCCCCCGCAGCCGGTGCGGGCGGCGCGGCCCGGGAACCCTTTGAAGCTCGGGGCGCAGCCGCTGCCACCGCGCTGCTCGCCCCGAAGCTGCCGCCCGTGCCCGCGGAGCGCGGAACAGATGGGGCCCCCGGCCCGAGCCCGCAGGCGCGCGGCGCACCTTCCCCGCAGACAAAAGGACGCTCCCTCTCCCTCACTCGCTCCCCTCCAAACTCCGCCGCCGGCCGGGCCCCCGGGGGAAGGGGCGCTCGCGGCCTCCGCGCCGCTGCCCCGCCGCAAAGTTGGGCGGCCCCGCGGCGCCCCCCGCGTCCCCGCCCGGCTCCGCAAACTTTCCCGAAGTGCCGGCCGGCGGGGGCGCGCGGGCCCGAGCGCGCACTCCACGTCGCCGGCCCCCTCCAGCGCGCAAAGTTGGAGAACAATGACTCCGGCCGCGCCGCCCCCCGCCCCCCGCCCGCCCCCGCCCCGCGTCCCCGGGTCCCCGCGTCCCGGCGCCGTGCGGGGAGGCCCGGCCCGCCGGACACCAAGCGGCGGACGGTCCCGGCGCGCTCACCTGCTCGGCGTGGCCCGGCCCGCAGCGCACGGGGGGCGGCGGCATGAACGGCCCCCCCGGACAAAGGGGCGTCGCGGCCCCGAAGGGCGCGCGTGGGCGGCGGCGCGTGGCCCGGCTCCCCGCGTGTCCGCCCCGCGGGCCCTACGTGGCCGGGGCGCTGGCGGAGGCGGCGTGCGAGGAGCCCGCGGTGCCCGCCGGCCGCGTCGTTGGGCTCGGTCCGGCCCGCTACGCCCGCGGCCGCCGCCGCTGCCTCATCTTCCTGCGGCGGGAGACATGTTCCGCCCCCAACCCCGCGCCGCGCCCCGCCTCCCGCCCCTGCCAGGCCCCGCCCCGCGCGCGCCCCGCCCCGCCGCCGTCCGCGGATCCCTCCGCCGTTGCCCGCTCTCCCGGCCGCTGCCGTCCGCCCCACGCTTCCGCTGAACGCGGCTGAGGTCCCGCGGAGTCAGGAGAATGGAGCGGGCGCGCCGGCGCTCCGTCGGCCAACGGCGGGGGTCGAGGGCAGGGACTATCTTCCAGCGCGGAGGCGCACGTGGTCTCAATGCTCTGCCTGACGCAAGCGAGTTGGGCAGTGAGATGGAAAGATAAGGCAGAGCGACCGGGGCCAATCGGAGAGTGCGAAAGCCTGATTGGCGGGGCCCTCGGCCTTTCGTAACTAGGCCCCGCCTCCGCCCCGCCCCCTTCGCTTGTCCCAATGAAGGAAGAGGCAGGACTCTCTGAGCTACAGGCCGCGAGAAGCGGTAGCGGGTGGGGCTTGCAGTTTTATTTTCAGGTTTGCATGGCCGCCCGCACGGCCGTTTTGGCTCGGTCGTATCTGAGTTCCTAATGCTGGACCCCGGTGCTGGGTGTGGCGAGCGTTTCAGACCCCCCCGGGAACGAATCAGACTAATCTTACCTGCCAGGCCACCGATGCCAGCTCTGTTTTAGGGTCAGAGAGCCCCGCGTGTAACCCGCTCTGTGCTTCTGACTTGCTGGTTGCCTTTGCCTGCCTGAGACTCAGTTTATTCATCCGTAAAATGGGATTTGGACCTGAGTTTGGGCTGTACTACGGCCGGACCAGGGCTTCTGACTCTCAGTGGTCTGAGAGTCCACTTAGATCCCAAGGCCCCCCCACACAGCCAGGGGCTCTTCAGCTTTTGGGAACCATAGACCCTACAGAATAAAAATAATAATTAGTATAAATTAAAATAACACAATCTTTCGTGGCCCCCTGTATCCGCAGAGAGAAAGCTACACTCCCTTCCAGGATGGGAAGAGGCCACGGGTACCCCTGGCCCACTGGGCTCCAGCCTCAGCGGCCTCCTCCTCCTCCTCACTATTCCAGAACCTGCCACGCTCATTCTCATCTCTGGGCCGTTGCCCTGGCTGTGCCCTCTGCCTGGAAGGCTCTTCCACCCCATCTGCAGCCCTGAGTTCCCACAGTTCAGGGCAGCCCTCGGTCCAGGGAGCAGGGCTGAAAGAAGGGAAGAAAAGTGGGGGTCCTGGGGGTAGGGGTGTGGAGAAGACCCCAGGGGCAGGTGGGGAGCTCATGGGGCTCCTAATAAAGCCTCTTCCTGCTACATCCAAACTGGGCTGACCTTCACCCTGACCCCGTCTGGGCCAGAGCGCCTCCATGTGCCACAGGTCTGGGGAGAGGACTGAGGGTCTTGGGGTCGGGGTTCAAATCCCTCATCCCTCCCAGCATCACTGTGACCTCAGCCAAGTTCTTGCCACTCTCTTGGCCTCAGTTTCCCCATCAGGAGAATGGAAGGGTGTACTGATGGGCACAGAGTAGGTGCTGAGGACATGTGTGTTTATCCTGCGGCCTCTCCCCACTGTAAGACCTAGGTGTCCGAAGTGAGGGTCCCCTCAGCCCACAGTCTTTCCCTGGACCAACCATGACCGCACAAGTCCATGGTCTGCTCTGGCTTCCTCCTAGCCTGAGGGGTTTCTCAAGGACCAGGCTGGGGCTGAGGCCCCTCCAGGACCCCAGCCTCACTCAGATCGGGCCAGCACCCTCTCCCCCGACAATGCTAAGGTTCTAACCCGCATGGGGCCAGTGTTCCTGGAGTTGACACACCCACTGAAGCAGGGGAATGATCCATTCATAGGCCATGCAAATACTGAGCACAGATAGTGTGCCAAGCTTGGTGCTGGACATTGGCGCACATTGGTGACTGTGACCTGTCCAGTCCCTATCCTCCAAGGCAAGATGAGCCATCAAAGGCTTCCCCCCCAGGGCATCCCCCCCAGGGCTTCCCTGATGGTGCAGTGGTTAAGAATCTGCCTGCCAATGCAGGGGACACAGGTTCGATCCCTGGGCCAGGAAGATCCCACATACCGCGGAGCAACTAAGTCTGTGCACCACAACTACCGAGCCTGCACTCTAGACCCCGAGAACCGCAAGTACTGAGCCTGCATGCCACAACTACTGAAGCCCACGCACCTAGAGCCCGTGCACTGCAACAAAGAGTAGCCCCCGCTCACCGCAATTAGAGAAAGCCCGTGCGCAGCAACAAATTCCTAGCACAGCCAAAAATAAATAAATTAATTAATTTTTTAAAAAAGCTCCTCCCTTTAGTCCCAAATGTGCTCTTTCCATCCATATGTTTAGCTGTCAGGTCCTCACACCTGAGTGATTAAACCGATTGTACAGATGAGGAAAATGAGGCTTAGAAATCTCCTCCCTGGGGCCCAGTCCACCCTGGGGCTCACACCTGCCAGAAGGCCCTCCCGGCACCCACAGGCCGCCGTTGTCTTCCCTGGGGAGACCCAGCTTGGGGCTGAGTCACCGGGAGGAGCAGCCCGTGGGGGCCCCACTCCGCCACAAGCTCTGCCCAGCCCCGAGGCCCGGGTGTGCCCTACAGGGCCCTGGCATGGGGACAGGCAGCCAGCAGCTGGTGCCAGGGGCCCCTCGAGGCCAGCCACAGCCCACCCCACCCCCCGACTGTGGCCTTTGTTCTCCTTTGGGTGCCAGCCGGGCAGGCAGGCTGGAGCCAGGGACCTGCCTCCCCACCTGGGGCTGCCTTCCCTCCCCCCAAGCCAAACCTACTGTGTGTTGCCGGGGTTGGGGACCCAGAGGAGGAGGAGGACCCCATTCCTGGTTGAGCAAAATCATGCCAAGGACAGATTCCCACCAGTGAGTGGGGCAGCTGGGGACAGAACATGGGGATGGTGGTGGAAACTTCCAGAAGACAGTAGTTGTGCAGGCCACGGTTGAGCACGGAGAGAAAGCAGTTGGACTTAGGACTTGGGGGCCACCCTGCTGACATCGTGCTTATTTGTCTCCAGAGTGGGCACCTTCTCCTGGGCTGTGAACAAGCCCACCCCCAACACTCTCCCACCCCCACCCAGCCCCTCCCTGCTTTTCTGAAGCCTGGGAGGAAGGGAGGGGCCCTTATCAGTCAAGCCAGACCCCACACACAAACCTAGGTTCATGGTCCCGAGGGAAGCAGGGGGCGGCACTGCCTCTGGAGCTGGGGGCTTGGTAAGCCACCCCCGTGGAGGGGCCTGGCCCCGATTTGTCCACGCTCACCATGACCCCCACCCCAGACATCATCGGAGCTCATTCATGCATTCATTCATTCATTCTCCCTGGCTTCTGGGAGAGAGGTCTCTGCAGGGCCTGTTGCTCGGGTCTGGGGCCAGGGGCTCTCGCTGGATACAGGGTGGGGGGCTTCTTACCCTTTGCAGAGGAGGGAGGAGGTGCTGGCCATGGCGGGCATAAAGTGGACGATGAAGCAGCACTGCTGGCCACTCACCAAGCCTGCCTTCCGTGGCGCTCACAGCCGTGGGCATAAGGAGGGGACCCCATCCCTCCACCTGAGCTTGTCCTAGGGAGCCAGAGGGCCAGGAGGGCTGGGCGGGGTGGGTGCCTGGAGCCTCAGCCTCGTCCTCCCCATTGCCGGGGCATGAGGAGGGGCTCTAAACTTGCCCTTCTCTGCGGTGGGTTCCCTGGGGCAGCGACACTTGGATGTGACCAGAAAGATGAATGATACCAGTGGGTGAAGAATAGGAAGCACTGGGAGTGGGGGGACTGCACAGGAAGCCATGAGGCTGGAGCCCAGACCATTGGAGGGAAGATGAGCGAAGGTCAGGGGCGCTGCGTCTCCATGGTGGGGTCACTGTGGAGCCTCGTGGGGATCTGAGCAGGAGAGAGAAGTGGTCAAGTGGTGCCATTTGGAGGCTGCAAGTTCAAAGGGGAGGAGGAGGGATGATCTTTAGGGGAGAGAGGGGCTGGCCGTGGGGTGGTGAGCTGGGTGGGCTGGGGGTACGTTTGAGGGGTAACAGAAGGCTTGCCTGGGGTGGAGGTGAGGAGGCAGCCACCTATGGGCGCTGGGTGTGAGGCCTGGGACCTCATTGCCTTAGTAGTGGTGCCCTCCTCTGAGCAGGGCCGTCTCAGGGCCAGTGACAGGGATGAATGGGGCACAGGAAGCCCACGTCCCAGTCCCAGCCCTGCCAAGGCCCCAGGGGACAGAGCCAGGGCTTGGCCACGAGGGGCTGCACGAATGAATGAATGAGCGCCGCCCCAAGCTGAGCCCCAATTCTGCTCTGAGCCCCTACCCTGGATCAAACCCTGAGACCAAGCTGAGCCCCTGGCCCTGGCCCAAGCCCGACCGCACTGAGCCTCTCCCACCCGGGCCCCCCACCTGCCCCCTCCCCCTGCCCTGTGCCCATCCGCCCCGGGGGGCTGGTGCCACCTGTCGAGGGCTGCCCTTCCTCCTCCTGGCCCAGTGCCCACAGCTCCTGACTCAGGGGCCCTGGGGGCCTGTCCCACCACATTCCGGGGCGGCCTGTGTCAACACTGGGTGCCTCCCCCTGGACTGGCCCCCAGGCATTGTTCGGCCCAGTTCTGGGGCGGGGGTGGGGGTGGGCGAGGGGGGCAGGGCAGGGGACCGGGGGGCCCGGCCTGATTTCTGCTGCCCACGGCCCCACCCACAGGGTGGCCCCACTGACTTCTGCCTGCAGCGGCATGGGGGTGCTCCTAGCTACCCAGGGCACACTGGGGAGACACCCTTCTCCCCAGTGCCCTGCAGCTCCCCTGAGCTTAATGCGGTGGGAACCACCCATTGCTCAGATGGGCAAACTAAGGCTCTGGCCCCTGCCTAAGGCAGGCCAGCCTCCTATACCTGGTTCACCTGTCCACCCAAGCTCCTTCACCTGTTCCCTGGTGCCTTCCAGGAACAGGGGGACATCCTGGCTGCCAGCACCTTGCCACACTAAGGGGTGTGGGTTTTACTCAAGGGTGCTGGGGAAAGCCAGGAGGGCAACGTGGTTTCCTTGGGG